TCAAAGAGGAGGCTCCCGGCACGCCCCACTCAGCCGTGAGGGACCCCCAGCAGGCACAGTGGCCAGGACTGCTGTGAGGCTTCTCTGACTGCACCCATGTCCCGTCACTGCAGTGACAAATCCCACAAACGTCACAGCTCAGCAGGGCGCGGATTTATGAGCTTGCAGCTCTAGAGGTTGTTGGCCTAAAGTCAAGGTGTGCGCAGCACTGGTTCCCCACGGAAGCCTCCACGGAGAATCCGTGTCCTCCCTTTTCAGCTCCAAAGCTGCCTGCATTCCTCCGTCTCCACAACCAGCCGGTCCCATCTCTCCAACCTTCATCGCTGCCTTTCCGACTGACCACACCAGCTCTTCCGATAAAGGGGACTTCAGTGGGGTGCCCATCTACTTCAGCTCGCGGGACTCCTAAATCAATTACTACTGCCAAAAACTCCTTCCACCCATCCACGCTGAGATACTCTGCCCTGCTGCCCGCCCTGGAACCAGCCCAACTCCCTCCCAGGTCCAGCAGCGCCCCAGGGCTCCACCTTCCCGGTGCAACTGGGAGCCCCTCATAGGCAGCATCCCTGCCCGGGTCCCCGCGCACTTCAGAGCTCACCTCGGTGCTTTCCAAGGGCGCAGGACTTTCCTCACTGGAGCCACAATGAAAGACATGTCTTCTGTATGTGGTCAGACTCTCAACAGCTGGATGCAGTGGCTCACGCCTGTAATCCCAACACTTTGGGAGGCCAAGGTGGACAGACTGCTTGAGCCCAGGAGTTTGAGATTAGCCTGGGAACATGGTGAAACCCCATCTCTACAAAAAATACCAAACTTAGCTGGGCATGGTGGCGTGCACCTATAGTCCCAGCTACTCAAGAGGCTGAGGTGGGAGGGTCAGTGAAGCCAGGAGGTTGAGGCTGCAGTGAGCTGAGACTGTGCCACTGCACTCCAGCCTGGGCAACAGAGTGAGACTCCAACTCAACAAACCTTCCAGCAGGTTCTCTCTCCAAACATTCGGATTCCTTCTTCTGCATGATTTTCTGGCGTCTCAGCTTTCTGCAGTGCAGGTGTCTCCTGGGTCCAGGTTTCCTTGACCAGCTGAGCGGATGACAGGAGCCACCCATGGTGGGTGGGTGAGCTGGCGGCACGGCCACCTCAGACGCCCAGGCCAGGCTCGGGCAGGCTCTTCCCTCTGTGGCCTGACAAGGTTGGATTTCATTCCCACACACCTTCCCCAGGTCCCGCCGTGTAGATTAGCTACCTTCTTCCCCTCTGGGATCCTTCTCTTCTCAGGTCACACTTTGTTCCTGCCCCTGGGAGCATCTGGGCCAGCGGGGATGGCAAGAGGGGCATGAGGAGAACTGGCGGCGCTGCAGGGAGGTGCTTCAGGGCCTTCAGGCATCAGAGCCCGCCTTTGAGGGCAGGGAGGGCTGCTTCCCTGCGGACGGATGGGCAGAGGGGGCTTGGCGGTTTGGGGCTCACATGGGTGCAGACCCCCTCAAATGTCCTCACTCCTGTCCTCAAAATCCCAGTCTTCCCCAATCCACCTCTGCTCTGCTCTGAATGCTGGCGCCCCTGAAATTCACGTGCCCCTGGAACTCAGCCCCATTGCTCATCAGTCTTTGTGTCCAGTAAAGAGATGCCTGACACTGGGTCACATAAAGAAAAGAGGTTGGCCGGGCGGTGGCTCAAGCCTGTAATCCCAGCACAGTGGGAGGCCGAGGCGAGTGGATCACGAGGTCAAGAGATCGAGACCATCCTGGTCAACATGGTGAAACCCCGTCTCTACTAAAAATACAAAA